CTTTCCCTCTGTATTGGAAGCCTGTCATATACACTTTTCTGACAAAATTGAAAATTAGACCCAAGAAAAACGTTCAGCGCATTTTTAAAAGCTCCAACTCTTTCTGTGACTTGTGCAGACATGATAAACTTTTTCAATGAGGAATCATATAATGTCATGGATTTTCTTCTAGCAATTAGTTCAAGAAAAAGAAAGAAGCTTCAGCATAGAAATGAGATTTTATGAACAGCAACAATACATGTGATTTGAACCCCCACTAGGATCTTGGAGAAGAAAAGAAGAACAAAAAAATTAAGAAAACAATCTGCCTCTATGTATCCTTGAGTGTTTTCTTAGCATTTCTCATTCTTACCTGCAGCTTGATTTTTTTTCTTATCAGGAATTTGGCACAGAGATATCAGAAAAGGAAAGCCTCCAAGCTCCTGCAGAAGCCTATGAAACCACACTAGACATTCATCAGGGAGAGAGAGACTGTGATTCAACTTCTGAAAAGCCAATTCCAATAGAAGCAGAACCCCAAGAAACCACAGAGAGGAAGAAAGATGCTCCACAAGTGCTGCTGCAGGAGCCGATTGTTGAAGCCACGCAGGGTGCTGGAGTAGGAGAATCGGAACCTGGAAAAGCTACAGGAATCGTTGATGCACAAGGATTCGAGCACAAAGCAGAGAGAAGTATTGGTGAGGAGAATATAAGAGGGAATGATGAAGGTACGTCAGCAAAGACTTCTTTATTTGACATGATGCAGAGCTCCACAAGAGAAAGGCAAGTGGGGGGAGACCTGACAGAAGAAACAAGAGCGGAAGGAGAGAAGACAAAATCAAACGAAGAAAAGGAGGAGGAGGAGGAGGAGGAGGAGGAGGAAGGAGAGGAACACAAAAAGACAGACTCAGGCTCCGATGCTCCAGTCATGGTAGAAGCATCTAGGGATATAGTAGATGTGAAGGTTGCAAGCAAAAAGCACTATAATATACTATCAGGTGTTGGATCAAAAGTGAAGAACTCAATTTCTAAGGTGAAGAAAGCCATTACAGGCAAGTCTTCTCATCCAAAACAACATTCACCAAAAGGAAGCACAAGCAAGACATAGCATGGTTTACTTTCGGAAATATGTTCAAGGTTCAGGTGTGGGAGCTTTTGTATATACAGGAGTTTATGTTTTCAGATTCTGGGAATTTTAATGTTGTGAGCTTTTGAGATACAACTCGAATGTTTGTAGTAGAAGTACATGAAAATCTCTGGTTTGATGTCACTACTTGTTTGAAGTCGTAGTATGGTATCTGGGATTCCAAGCATTTCTAGAATTTAACCCTTTACTTCACCCCAGTAATATCACCCGTAACAAACCTTTCACAGCTACGTGTGAAATGGAAAAGAATAAGTCATTGAGAGTGGAGACTCTTGAGCTAATGGAAGCATTGGTGTTCTCGAGAGTAATTGTTATATAATTATTTTATTAAAAGAAAAGGTTAAAACACTTGGTAAAAGTACTTGAACATGTATTTATGCATGTTTTGTGACCGTGAATAGAAGATTTTGCGCTTCAAAAAACCGCAATCAATTGCTTTTCAAGGGAAAAAATGGTTTTTTTTCTTGGTTCATTTGCTTTTCTAAAATCATTTAAGGGTATCTTGATACTTTTATTGTTATTTATACAATAAAATCACTTTACTGTTCTTGAAAGTAAAATAAAAAATAAAAAAATTAGCTATGATCTAGTGATTTTTCTAATGTTTTTTTATTTTTT